GGAGAGAGAGGGGGAGAGAGGGAGAGGGAGAGAGAGGGAGAGAGAGAGGGAGAGAGAGGGAGAGAGAGAGAGAGAAGAGAAAATGAATCACTACCAGGCATTTTTTTTTATTATAAGGTCAGGTCAATGGGAGAAAAACCCAGGATGACTTGATGTCTTGAATGACAATAGAAAGGCAGAAGTCTTTTTTAAACTCCCTGCATGAGCCAAGACGTGTTCAGTTACAATACAAGTCTCACTGCAGCAGGGAACTTTCCTCCTGTAATATTCTCATATATCAAACCTTCAAAGTGCATTATGTACATAGTGTGTTTGGGCACTTGATAAATTTTGTCCTTATGTGGCGGTGGGTCCCCTCAAAAATGTTGGATGTAATAAATTGCTATAATCAAATCTAATTTCTGAAAAATACCTGTGGGAGTAACAAACAAAAAAGCACGTCTTGTATAAAAAAATGATAAATAACACCAAAGGTAGGTGTTTATTATAATCAGCTTGGTACTGAATTATAAAATTAAAATTATGTGGCCCTTTATAACTAACCCTAGCAATATACATGATCTGTAGAATTATGTTGACTTATTTTGCATTTCATAGGAACAGTTCAAAGAAATATAATATAAAAAAATGGAAAGATTTATCACAAAGGACCCTGTGGCACAGAGTATTTTTTTTAAACTCCATTTATTTTGGTCTATTAAAAAAACTAGCATGGAAATTATTTTCTTAGAACTCATTAAGTATAAAACATTTTGAAGAAGTGCTAATTTTCTAAAAGAAACATCTATGCAGTAAGAAAATTATATTTTTCTATGACTTATTAGTGTGGGACTATGTGAACTAATGCAGCCACAGAATAAAGAAACTTCTAAAGGACTGATTAAAATAAACTTCAAGCTGTAGTTTGATAGAATTATTAATTTAATCATTTTTAGACAGTTAATTTCATCCAAATTGTTTTTCCCCCAGCCTGTCTTGAGCAAAGAAATTTCCTTTACTCTCCAGTTGAAACATCAAATATAGAATGTTAGTCCAGATGGTAATAGAGATGTGACTGTGAAGTCTTGCCCCAGACATACCAGTAACGTTTGCTTTGCACTTGCACTGGCCTGAGTCGGGGTGACAGGTAATGTCTCCATCCACAGTCCCCGAGGTACTGCAGCCACAGGGGCTGCAGCCATCAGCATCCGACTCTCGCAGGCTGTAGAATCCAGCTTGGCACTGATTGCACTGTCTGCCAGACACGTGTCTCTTACAATTACACTGGCCTCCAGTCTGGGGAAGATACAACATTTTGTAGAATGATGAACATATCTATTTTTAGATCGTTTGCTCATTACATACAAGACAAGGAGGGAGGGAGAAAAAAAACTTGAAATGTTAAATAGACAAGAAGGTAATAAGGTATTTTCTTTTTACTCCTGACAAAAAATGTAGGAAGCTTCTGCAGAGTGAAAATATAGAACTGAATGAAAATAAGCTCATGGAAGTCAGTAGTGTATGAATAAAAGGGAAATGGAGAATTAAGCATTAAGTACTATATAAAGAAATCAAATATAGACATGTAGAATCTGAAAATAGAAGAGAGTCAGCAACTCCACCTCTCTGATGTATCCCTCTCATTTACTGTCTTGTCCCAAACCTGCTTCATACATGGCAGGTGGTTAAATTAAGGAAGAACTTTTTATAACAATTGAGTCTCAGCAAGGTCTTAATAATATCTAAAGTTCTTTGTTAACAGCATTTATTTAAGCCAAATGATAGTGACCTTGATACATTTTTATGCAATTACTGTTTTAGGAATATTTTAGAATATTTCTCATTTATAGCACTGTTTCACAACATGTATATTTAGCTAACTTATGGTAAATAATACAAACATTAATTGTCTTAGAGTATTTTTAAGAAAAATGAAACATTCAATATTTTTCCTTTTAAGCTGCTGTTTTGAGAAGAATGGAAATACAGAAAATACTCAGGAGTGATCTACAGTATGCATAGATAACACTATGTTGTTTAAAGGAAGCACTTAAACTCTTCATAAGAGGTCATGTGTATGAAATGTGAAATCAACATGAGAAATTCCTCATAACTCAGGATTATAACACAGAGATGGGGATGCAGACATCGAATCTCTTGTGCAGTCACTGGCATTTCCCCCCGATTTCCTTTCGCTGGGAAACAATCCAGCGCTTCACATCTGGAGGCAGGATTATCCTGGAGGGTTACAGCCTATGCATGGGAAGACATGAGTGAATTCATGTTTAATTTCAAGGGTATTAAAAATCATATGAGGTTAGCATTTGGTTAAAATATCTGGGGAAGAGCTTTCAAATTAGAGACTAAAAAAACCTATCACTGCCTCATTTTTCCACATCTGAGAAATAGGGATTCAGTAGCATCATTACATAAGGATAAAATAAGGCAACAGACATGAAAATAAAGAGTTTTAAATGCACCAGATGTAGACAGAGCCAATGAGCCTCAATACCTAAGACCTGACAAACACAGGAAGCTGAGCAGTCCTTTGAAGAAGGTCCTTGTGACTCCCCGGCTTTGTTCCATCCCCAACACCAATGTTACTCCGTTGTCTTCCTATTTGCATTATTTCTGATGGAAATCTGTTGTCATCCTTTGGGTTCTTCCTCTGTATATTCTGTGTGTTGTTCCTTTTGCTGCTCTGATAATATATCTTTAGGACAAATTAATCATAATTTGAGCATTTCAATTATAACATGCCTATTTGCAATTTTCTTGATATTTCATGGTCAATGCCTTTCTCCAGATTCTTAGGTTTGTGGCTTCATAGTTTTCATATTTAATTCTTGGAAGTTTCCACCCATTTAAAAAAAAAATTTCCCTGTCCTCATTATCACCCCACTTCTCCTTCAGAGCCTCCAATAAAACGTATATCAAGCCTTTTTAAGTTGACCCATAGTCACAGCAAGTTTTCATTTTTCTAAATTATCTCTTATCTTTATGTTTCATTTTGGACAGACTGTATTGGTATGACTTCGAGTTCATTTACCTTTCTTCAATGGGTAATCTGTTAAATCCAGTCAGTGTGTATTCATTTTATACGTTGTAGATTTCTTCTCTGAAATTTTGATTAGTGGGGATTTTGTATCTTCTATGTCTCTATGTGACTTTTCAATAATGAGAAATAATTATAATAACCGTATAGTATACTTGCTTGATAATTCTAATATGTATTTCAGCTCTGGATTGGTTTTCATTGATTTTAATCTTGATAATGCATCTTGTTTTCCTATTGTTTTGTATTCCTGGTAATATTTGATTAGGTTCCAGGTACTGTGAATTTTTTTTGCTTGGCGTTAGATACTTTATCATGTCTTTTTAAATATGGCGGAGCTTTGTTCTGGTATCCAGTTAAGTTACTTGGAAGTAGTTCCCTTACATCTTGTTCTCAAGACTTATTAGATGATGCTACAGTGTTATCAGGTGAGGGCTGCTCACCACTGAGCAAGACCCAATGTCCAGTGGGTCATAGTTTTCTCCAATTTGGCTGGTGTAAATAGTCACTATCTTCTGCTTCTTGTAAGTGCTAAGCATCTTTAGCTTTAATCTTTTCAAGTTGTGTTCTCTCTGACTTCATCTACATGCAACCATCAGCATTCAGATGAATATTTCAGGAATATATGTTGCAGATCTCTGAAATCATTTGTCTGTGCTCCCTTCTCCTCTCTGAAAATGCTAGCTACTTTGGATTCCCGAAACTCTCAGCTCCATGTCTTCAACTTAGAGAAATCTTTGGGTTTCACTGGAGTTCTCCATGCCTGTAGAATAGCCTGAAATTCTCTTAAATCAGTAATCTGGGGAAACTGTAGGACTTACAGATTTATTTTCTGGCTCTCAGAAGACATTCTTATCACTACTTGGTGTTCAAGATCTTGCTAACAATTGTTTAATATATTCTGTTTATATTTTGGTTGTCTTAAGAAGGAGGATAAATCCAGTTTACATTTCTCTGTTTAATGCAAATAGAAAGTCTTAAAAAGGTTTTATAACCTGACCAAAAAACTATTAATGGAATTTAAGACAAAACTAAATGACAAAATCCAGACAAAATTCATTAGCTGCATCAGATATGCACTGGGAAACATGTATTTGGCTGTTTAATATAAGTTTCAAACTCTGAACCCAAATAAGATAGAATGCCAAAAAGGTTGGCAGAGATACCTCTGCTTATTATACCAGGAGATAGAAACTGAATCAAAACCTCCTGCCATCCTCAGCTGTTTGAGGATTATATTTTTAAGTACCCAAAATTGGAGCTCTAACCCTTCAATCACCCCCTTGGCACACTTTCCTAAAGACAAACTCTGAAATGTGACAGAACTTGTATAGAGTTTAGCAGAAGCACAAGGCACCACGAGATGTCTAGAAGCCCAGAAATGAACTATAAATAGAAACATACTGGTAGCTATGCATGTGGTCTGGAACAAAGGAAGGGAAAAGAAAAATTAGTTTTCAGGTGCTAACTTCTCAAATGTTAGTTTAAATGTATAGTTCCTTCATTCAATAACTGTCAATTAAAGTAAGTTTTTGCCCCAGTCTAGGTTACCTAAGATGTTAGGGCTAAATAGAGCGAATTTAGCTACAGTCAAGCTGCTTCTCAGGTGTACTGTTTGTATGATAGAAGGACAGTGCCCAGGAAGACAGAAATAAGGGAAAGCATTCTCCTTTCCAACAAGAATTGACCTTGCTAGACATGGTTCATTCAGAGATTAATAAAATTAAGACAAAATTTATCCACAAGGAAAAGTAGAACAGAAGGAATAAAAGTCACACGAAAGTTATTCTTTTGCCCAAGGTAAAAGAGGTGAGCACTGACCAAGTTTGGCCATTGTTAAATGTAAATATATACATTTAAATACGTATGCTCAAAAATATGATGTGTAGTAACATTCAGACAAAGCATGTCCCTGGTGCTTTTTATCCAATATCTCACTAATAGAAATTATTTTAAGTATAATCTACAAGTTTAGTACCACCAATAAAGAAAACAGTAGAGAAGAATTAAATTTCAGCAAAAATTTCAAAGGCAAGAAAAGGAAAGAAACATAAATAAATATTGAGAACATTCTTTTACTAATCGCTCTAGGTGTCAGCTGAGCTGGAGTCCTAAAATAAGAGGACCAATTTTCCCATGCAGACTCTTTGAGAGCCTTCAGATCTGAAGACTGAGATGCTGGGAGAAGTGAGGGGACCCGGGCTGAAGTCAGGACAGTGATTCTCATGCGGTAATCCTACCTCCAGAGGACATGGGATGTAGAGCCTTCCCAGTTATCACCACTGGGCAGGGGACTCTGAGGACAGCTAGTGGGGAAAGGCCAGAGCTGCAGCTGAGCATCCTGCTCAAAGCCTCCACAGTGCCCAGGCTGGGAAGCAGGGCTTAGAAGGATTCTGCAGAGAGGCATTTTTAGCTCGCCTTCCCCACCCCTCACAGCAAGCAAACTACCTCTGCTTCATGGTGGCATCAAATTATTGTCAAGAAAAATCAAGATCATTCAGCTTGATTTTATTAGCTCATCAAGAACTCGGGGTAGGAGAAGTATTGGGCAGAAATGGGAGGGTTATGTGAAAGTTTACAAACACTTCTTTCCCCAGCCCACCAGCTCCCATCTCCCACACTGCTTCTGGAAAGCCAGGAGCCAGGCTGATTCTCCATAAAGAGTCACCTGGCAGGGAAAAGCTACAGAGATAAGACTTCCAGAACTACCACCGGGGCCTCCGGTCCCTGCTGCTGATAAACGAGAGTGAAACCCAAGATGGACACATTTCACCACTGTGCTGTAGGATTCATCAGATGTTTGTGTGAAATGTGCAAAATCAAAGACGGGACCAAAAAGGAGAAATTATAAGAGGAAAACACCAACGCAAGCAACAGAAATAGAAGAAACCAACTGGTAAAAATTAAATATTTGTTATTATCCCCGGAAATTAAAAGTCACTCTCATTTTAAAATATAAAAAAGTTTTAAGAAAGAAATAATCTGTGAAGGAAAGAACTCTTAAGTATTAACAATACAATAGGCAAATTAAAAACATCAAAGATTAAAAAGACAAAAATACCAACATAGGATTTTCAGAATTAGAAAAATATTGAGAAGACATTATTGAGAAATTAATACAAAGTGAACAGTTTTCAGACATCAAAGCACATTGTAGAAATGTTTACTGTGTATTAGTCAATTAATGCGGAAGCATTTCAGATCAAGGTGCCATCTCATGAAGTGTTTAAGTTCCAAAAAT